CGGGGTCCTGGTTAGGTCCTTCCTCGGGTTGCACCACCCCGATTTTGGTCCCACGATTCGGCCCCGCAGGGCCCTCGGAGCTCTCGTCCACCTCCCAGGTCAGGCCTCTTTCTACGTTGTTAGTGTCTACCTGCAGGATTGTGTTGGACTTAGCGATTTCAATCAGGATATTCTTGCTGGCGTAGCGGCGCGAGCAAAGAGCATGTCTGTGCCGTTCCTTGTCGGTGCCGACTTCAACTTGGAGCCCGCCGTGCTAGCAGGCTCGGCGATTCACAGAAGGATGGGAGCTGACATTGTGTACCCCCCTGGTGTCGAGGGCACCTGTCGCAGCACTGGGGGCGTGAAGATGTTCGATTTCTTCCTTTGTTGCTCCCGCCTGACGCAGGCGATTAAAGGCGCGAAGATAGTGAGCGATTCGGAGTTAGCGACGCATGACCCTGTCTCCCTCACCTTCCACCCCTCCCTTACGTCTCTCAAAGCTTTGACCTTTCGACGTCCCCCACCCTTGCCCACTAGCCGGCCCGCGGGACCTTGCCCTGAGCCCCCCTCCGAATGGGGAGTTTTGGATCGGTTGGCCTCCCGAGCCCTGGCTGTGGCCGAGAGTGGGGGGACTGATGTTACCCAGTATCATCTGGACACCATCTACAAACATTGGGCCAACACGGCTGAAAAGGAGCTCGAAGGAGTGTTTCAGCGCCGCCTTTCGCACCGCGGCAGTCGCGGGCGCCAGGCGGAGTTGCACTGGGTCAGCGTGCTGCAGCCGAGTTCGGCCTCGATGGAAGGTGTTTCGTCGACGTCGCAGTTGGCTTCGCAGCCCCGCTGGCTCAGCAATCGATATCGGCTTTGGATGCAGCTGTGCGCCTTAGGAGCGTCGACGGCTGCGCCCGAGCCCTCCTCCTCCCCGCGTTTTGCTCGTAGCAGTTTTATCGAAACGACAGCGTCAGGACGCGCCAGGCACAGCTCGGCACGCAGCAGCCATCTCTGTGCCACGGCTGCTGAGCTTTTCAATCCCCCTGCTAGGCTGGGAGAGTTGAGCGGCCACGCGGCCGCGCTACTTCAGCGTTGCAGGGATGTCGTCACCCACAGCCCTCCTGGTCAGTCCGTCGTCTCTGGGGAACCTGAGCACGCCCTGGATGCGGCCTCCCAGGCCCAAGCTGTGGCCGAGAGCGAACATCGTAATACTGAGAATCGTAAGTGGGTGTCATGGCTTAAGACCAACATGGAGTCTGGGGCTCGGCACGCCCATGGGGCGGTCCGGGGGGCCCCTGCTTGGGCCCCCACCGCTACCCTCAGCGTCAAAGGCGAAGTTGTTTCGGACCCACAGGCCCTCCTTGAGTCTGAATGTGCTACGTTTTCTGATTTTTGGCATGCCGAAGACCAGCAGGCTCCCCCGGCGACAGGTGCCCGCTTTGAGGTGCTCGAGCCCCTGCCCGAGTTGACCCCAGCCGACCTTCGTCGTGTCTCTAGGTCTTTCCCGAAGCACACGGCCTCCTCGGTCTACGGCTTTCATGTTAGCCACTTCCAGCACCTCTCGGATCAGGCCCTTGTCGTCCTCTCTCGCCTCATCGCCACGTTCGAGAAGTCAGGGCACTTGCCAATGCAGATGCGCATGCTGCTGCTCATCATGCTTGCCACGCCCGGCGGTGGCCACAGACCGATCGGATTATTCGTGTCAGTGTATCGTCTCTGGGCCCGCGCTCGTCGTGAGTACGCTCGCAGGTGGGAAGCGGCTAACAGCAGGGACTTCTTCGCCGCGGGCTCCTTTGCCTCGAGCGTGGACACTGTCTGGCGGCAATGCGTACGAAGTGAGAAAGCTGTTTCTTCCGATTTATGCTCCAGTTCGGTTCTTTGGGACCTTCTCAAGTTTTATGGATCGGTCGACTTGGATCTGCTCTTGCAGCGTTGCCGCCAGCACGATTTCCCCATGCAGATTGCGAGAGTATGCGATGCTGCTTACCGCGCCTGCCGCTACATCGCCATGAGCAGCAGGGTCACCGGGCCCAAGTTCGCATGGCGAGGTCTTGTGGCAGGCTGCGGCTTCGCTACCACTTTAATCCGTGTCTTCAGCTTAGCCGCCATGGATGGGCTTAGCTTGCCAAGATCGGTCTCGCTGTAGATACATATCGATGATTACACCTTGTCGTGCCAAGGGACCGCTCCGACGGTCGTTAATGACCTCCTGGAGGGGGGAATTAAATTGCAAGTGGTCATCGAGGGCGATCTTGGCTGCGCGATCGCTGTCAAGAAGGCGGCAGCTCTCGCCTCACATCCTTCTGTTGCTAAGGCCGTGCGCCAAGGTCTTGGCACGGTGGGCGGAGCGCCGTGCGACTCCGCTGTCAGCCTCGGCATCGACGATGCTGCTGGCAGGTCGCGTCGCTCGTCGTGGAGGCAGGTTTAAGGTTCGTAAGACCCTGTTGTCGGCCAAGGTTGCTCGTCTGGCTCGTCATAAGAGAACCCTCTGTCGACACTCGCGTCGTGTTTTCACGACTGGGCCCCTTGCCAGCCGAACCTACGATTGCGAGGTGCACGGCCCATCGGACCATGAGCTTTTCACCCTTCGGAGAGCCATGGGTCGTTTCTTGCAGCCCTCCGCTGGAGGGAGATCTCTCACGGCAGCTCTGCTGTTTGCCGCCGACCCCACCTGGTACGCGTCCGTCGCGCCCATTGTGAGGTGGTCTAAAGAGATCTGGGCCTGCCTGGTGGGGGCCTACCAGTTCGGCCTCAACTTGGCCGAGCTCCGCGGTGCCTGGGCCGTGGGTTTTTCGGGGCCTCTCCAGCCGTGGCGTCGTGTGCGCGGCCCTGCGGGGGCCCTTCGTCTCTCGGTGGAGCGTCTTGGGTGGAAGATGCCGAGCTTCAGCATGCTCGTCGACGACCCGGGGGTGGAAGTTTCCCTTGCCCTGGTTTCGCCTCGCCTCCTGAAGCGTCTCCTCCGTGCTGCTGTTTTGAGGAATCTTGAACGTGATTATGGGCGGTCCCTGGGCCTGGACCGCAGAGTCTGTTTCGACGCGGCCCTTGCGGCCATGAATTTTTCAAAATTCACCCCCTTCGAGAAAGGGTGCATTAGAGGTCTTGTCTGCCAGGCGCCCTGGACCAAGGCTCGAGCCGAGGGCCACGGCTACATCATGCCTGACGCGCTGTGCCCGTTGTGCGGCGTGGCAAGGGACACCATTTTCCACAGGTTGCGGTGCTGCCGGCACGAGTCGGTCGCCCAGGCCCGAGAGGACATCCTCGGAGAAGGGTTCCAGTTTCGGCCGCTGGAGTACGACTCGCTGTCGGATGCTGACAAGATAATGTACGCGATGGGGCTGTTTACCCACCCTGGTGACATCTTCCCACCCCCATCGATGTGCGAGCCCAGTTATGAGCATTTTGACGATCCTGATGAAGACGATTATAGAGTTTTGGGGAATATCTTCATGGATGGTTCTTGTATACGCTCGGTCATAAGAGAATTATCGATGACGGGGTGGAGTTATGTCTCGGTGTCCGATTCTGGGCAGGAGCTGGGTCATGTCTATGCCCCCCTCCCCTACCCCATTCCCCAAACGGCTCAGGCTGGTGAACTTGCTGCTTGCACTGCTGCTTGCCAAAATGCTGTCTCTCCAGCTGTGGGGTATAGCGATTGCCAGAATGTAGTATCTCTGTGGGCCCTCCCTCGTAGTGAACACTTGTCGCATAAGCGAGTGCACTCGGGTATGTTTGTTTGGACCGCAGACAGTCAAATGGGGCCCATCCATAAAGTGAAAGGCCACATGTCGGACGAGCAGGTGGGTAATGATGCCTATCTGAAGTTCTGTAAGACGGGGAACGACCTCGCCGACCATTATGCTAAGCTTGGGGCCCTAGCTCACGAGAAGCCGTGCCATGAGCAGCAAGAGTGGCTTGATATATGCTTGTCGGTCGTTCGCAAGGTTTTTGTTTTGGCTGCCCGTGTGCTGCCTCTCTGGCCTCCGCTCGACTTGTCGGAAGCCACTCGTGCGCCCGTCGAGCCGAAACCAGTGCCAGTCAAAGTGCCCCATTTTTGGAAGAAGGTGGGAAGTTTCTGGCAGTGTAATCACTGCCTCACGGTGTGCCGTGGGGTTTTCCCGCGGAATAATTCGAGTTGCGCCAAGAAGCATAAGCTCCAGGTTGACGTCCTGCAGCAGCTGGAGCACAATTGTCTTGGATTAGCGTGTTCGGACGGCGGCATTGTCTGTGTGTGTGTCCGTTGTAAGGCGTTTTCCACTGGCAATTACGTTCGCTACCTGGCTAAACCGTGCCCAGGTAGGCCTCATAATATTAGGTGCTCTAAGTATTACTGGGACAGAATTTCGACTGGCAAGCGCCCCAAGCTTTCGGACGTCTGGCTTGACGCGGATGCTAACAGTGTTGTTCGTCTCTTTAATATATCCTAGGCCTGTATCTGGCCCAGCCTCTCGGTCTCGTGTCGCGGGGGCGTGGCCCTGATATAAGGTTGCATGGCATGTATGACCTGTCTGTGCCATTTAAGTGCCGTGCTCGACGGCCGCCTGGCTCCCAGTGCCAGGCCGACTGCGGGAAGCCGTGGAGAGCAGCGTAGCGGTAAAATCATCTTCCTCCTCCTCCTCCTCCTCCTCCTCCTCCTCCTCCTCCTCCCTCCCCCTCCTTCATGTCTTCCTCGTCCCCCTCCTTCTGCTCCTTTGCCCCCTCCTATTCCTCCTCCACCCTCCCTCGCCGTCTCGCTTCCCCGGTACGTTCCCGCCTCCCCTTTCTCCCTTTCACTCTTCCTCCCCACATGATCCCTCGTCATCTCTCGCCCTCCTCCTCCCCGCCCTCTGCCTCCGCTATCCTCATTTTCTTCTTCACCCCCCCATCCTCCCCCTCGCCATCGCCTCGTCATCCTCGTCTTGGCCCCCCCCCTCCCCCCCCTCTCCCCCGTCCTCTCCCCCCCCTCTCCCCCCTCCCCGCCCTCCCATGGCACTTCTCCGCCCTTCCCCCTGCCATCTCTCGCTCGACGGCGGCGGCGGCCACGCCCTTCGCAGGTGCGGCGCCGTGGCCGCGGCGGCCCCGTTTTGCGTCAGGTCCGCGCCCCTCCCCCCCACCCTCGGCGCGCAGGGGCGCCGCTGCCGCCGGGGCGGCGACGGCGAGGAGGGGAGAGAGGGAGGGGAAGGAGGAGAAGGGATGGGGATCAGGCGGTGGCGGAGCGTCCTGGCTCGCCCATAGGCCCACCAAAGAATGTTCCAAGAACCCTTTGTGGTCTGCACGAAGTGTTCTTAGAGCGTGTCTGGCTCAGACTGCCTTGTTTAAGCACATCGGGCTTATGTTATAAGAACATTGTTTTTGTGATTCGAACATTTTGGCATTTTGGGGATATCTGAACATGTCGTGGTAGGCCTACAGGAGTGCTGGGACGGTCAGTCTCTGGTCAGGGTGATGGATGGGGAGGGGGGAAGGACGGAGGATAGGGGCGGTGGAAGACGGAGGAGGAAGAGGAATTCTTTACGCTTCGCGTATCCCCACCAGCCCATCTCACAACAGCAACTCATGCGAAGCATGCCGACAGTCGTGTTTTTCAGGCGTGTGTCCGTTTGGCCCCGCATATCTCCCCTGTTCCTCCTTCCTCCCGCCTCCTTGTACATCCTCCTTGTGGGGGGAGCGGGAGAAGGACGAGGCGGAGGAGGAGGGAGAGAAAGCGCTCCTCGTGATTTGAGTCGTTTGGGGTTTCTCGTCCTGGTGTGAGTCGTTCGGGCCCTTCTTCCTGGTGTGAGTCGTTCGGGCTCTTCGTGGTGTGAGTCGTTCGGGCTCTTCGTCCTGGTGTGAGTCGTTCGGGCTTCTCGTGGTGTGAGTTGTTCGGGCCCCTCATCCTGGTGTGAGTCGTTCGGGCCCCCCCTCCTGGTGTGACTCGTTCGGGCTCCTCGTGGTGTGAGTCGTTCGGGGCCCGCGTCGTGGTGTGAGTCGTTCGGGCTCCTCGTGGTGTGAATGGGTCGGGCGCCTCGTCCTGGTAGGAGTCGTTCGGGGTCCTCCTTCTGGCGTGAGTCGTTCGGGTTCTTCGTGGTGTGAGTGGTTCGGGCCCCTCGTCCTGGTGTGAGTCGTTCGGGCTCCTCGTGGGGCCTCTTGGGGGCCTCTTGGAGCCTCTTCGGGCCTCTTGGGGGCCTCTTGGGGGCCTCTTGGGGGCCTCTTGGGGGCCTCTGGGGGCCTCTTGGGGGCCTCTTGGGGGCCTCTTGGGGGCCTCTTGGGGCCTCTTGGGGGCCTCTTGGGGGCCTCTTGGAGGCCTCTTGGGAGAGGCTCCTGGGGGCCTCTTGGGGCCATCTTGGGGCTTCTTGCGACCTCCTCAGAAGCGCAAGGAAGCGCTGCCCCCTGAGAAGGACAAAATGAGCCCAAAACCATAGTAAAATCAATGATTTTGCTATGAAGGAAGATGAGCGCGACCCCCTCGGGAGGCCAAAATGGGGCCACAACTCTCGTAAAAGCAATGATTTTGGCTTCACAGAAGAGGAGGGGGCTACAAGAGCGTCCCCCCGTCGTCGCCAGAATCCTCGTGAGGGTCGTCGTTTTTTGGCCCTCCCAGGAGTCGAAAAAGACCCCCCTGACGACCCGCGGGGTGCCCTCTCCAGGCCCAGGGGGAGGGGGTAGGGGGAGGGGTAAACCCCTCCCCGAAGGGGAAGAAGGGGGGTTGAGGACAGAGGGGGCTCGCTAAACCACTCACGCCCTAAAGGGCTGGTGGGATTCCTCCCCTCTATCCCTTGCCCCTTTTCCTTGTGAATCACTCCCCCCCCTGTCGCTCCCCCGGACGTGTATATTTGGGCGTTTTGCTGGAGATGTATTCACCATCTATCATCCTGCAACTTGATATTTGCAGCGGCTTCGCGGATGGATGACGGGTAGTTTCCAACATGTGTTTCTCATTTCAGCGCCGTGCGCATTCGTCTTAGAAGTTTGTAACAGTGTCAAGGATGCATGGCAGGTGGTTTTCAACATGTGTCTCTCGCTGTAGCGCCGCGCACATTTGCTTTTTAAGTTTGCAACTGCTTCCAGGATTGAGAGCGGTTTCTTTTTCAATATGCGGTTCTCGCCTCAGCGCCGCGTATACTCGCTTGAAAAGCGTGCAGCAGTTTCCCAGGTTCGCTTGGTTGTAGTCGCAGGAGTAGCGTTCTGGCACGATTTAAGATTGTCAGGACGCAGCAGTCACGTTGATTCTTGGTGTTGAAGGCCCAGAAACGACGTTATGCTACCATGGAGGGTTGCCAGGACGTAACGGTTACGTACATTGTTTCGCAGACCTGAAGTCCCAGGAGTTTTATTTTGGCACGAAGCCGGACTCTCAGACGGATGTCTTCCAATGGGGCGTTTCCAGCACTGAAGATCAGAGTGAGGTGGCCGAACGGTCATTCACTGTCCCTGGGTGCGTGGCCGACCCACGCGCGACCCACCCCGCGACCCAGCCGCGACTTGGCCCGCGACCCAGCCGCGACTCGGCCCGCGACCCACCCGCGACCCACCCCGCGACCCACCCACGTTGCTTTAACGAATAATCGGCCCTTGCGGCGGGCCCGTTGCATAATTTGTGACAATTAGGCGTTTGCGGCTGGCTTCTTCAGAGCCTCGCAGACTGCAGACGTCTCCGCCGCCCCCGGACTCTTATCTCCAACTGCGGGGTGCTACGTATAATGTTGTAGAGACCTATGAGGAGGGAACTTGGCGGGAGGGTTCATTTCAACATTGTTGGTTCGTTTTGGGTTGACACGGATCCTCGTGCTCCTCTTCCTCTTCCTCCTCCTCCTCTTCCTCCTCCTCTGATTCCTCCGCTGGCTCGTCCTCATGCATCTTCTTCATGCATCCTCATGAATTTCCCCCTGCCCTCTTCCTCCCTCCCTCCCTCGTGTTGCCAACACTCGGCCCCTCCCGCTGGGGAGACTGGAGGGGTGAGCGATCGCGCGTCGAGGAGGTGGCACAGGAGGCGTTCTCCAGCGCAGTCACAGGAGGTTGTCTGTGCAGTGGTCCTCCCCTCGTCCTCCTCCTCCTCCTCCTCCTGCCCTTCCTCCTCCTCCTCCTCCTCCTCCTCCTCCTTCTCCTCCTCCTCGCCTTTCTCCTGCTCCTCCTCGTCGTCCTCCCCCTCTTCCTCCTCCTCCTCCTCCTCCTCCTCCTCTTCTTCCTCCTCCTCCTCTTCCTGCTCCTCCGCTTCTCCTCCTCCTCCTCCTCCTTTTCCTCCTCCCCCTCATCCTTCTCCTCCTCCTCCCCGGCTACCGGCGCTCCTCCTCCTCGTCCTCCTCGTTCTTCTCGTCCTCATCCTCATCCTCATCATTATTTCTTCTCCTCCTCCTCCTTCTCCTCCTCCTCCTCCTCCTCCTCCTCCTCCTCCTCCTCGTGCAGATTAAGCAGGAGGGGCAAACTTACAGCCTCGGGGCAGGGAGGGGGCTCTGCGATGCGGGGATGCTGAGTTTGAGACTTGGGGCTCGGAGCTCGATCGGAGGGGGCTCAAACAAAGACGGGCAGGCGGGCCTGAGGTCCGAGCCCGCAGGCCTTCTGGCTTGGGGGGCGCAGGAGGGATATTTAGGGAGGAGGAGTGGGGGGTGCGAGCTGGAAGAGGAGGGGGCGGAGGAAGAGGCTCGGCAGCAGGAGGCGGCGGGGGAGGGGAACAGGAGGAAGAGGTAGAGGAGGAGGAGGAGGAGGAGGAGGACGCCGACGAGGAGGACGAGGAGGAGGAGGACGACGAGGAGGAGGAGTGATGGGGAGACGAGGACGCATGAGTTTCGCGGATTGAGGACGACCCGGTTTCAAAATGTTGCTCTCGCCTTAGCGCCGCGCACATTCGTTTTCAAACATGCAAGAGTTTCACGGACTGATGGCGGCCCGTTTTCAACATGTGGTTCTCGCCTTAGCGCCGCGCACACTCGTTTGAAACATTGGCAAGAGTTTCACGGATTGAGGGCGGTTCTTGTTCAAAATGTGGTTCTCGCCTCAGCGCCGCGCAGATGGGTGTCCATGATCACGGTACCATAAATTGCGTTTGGGGGTGATTCAGGATTGCGCGGGTGCAACAGTTAACGTTGATTCGTGGTGTTGACGTCCCAGGAATGGCGTTCTGGCGCGGTTCAGGACCGTCGAGACGCAACATTCAGGTTGATCCGTGGCATTGAAATCTCGAAAACAATGTCTTGGCATGCTTCAGGGTCTTCAAAAGGTTGTCTTCCCACGAGGCAGTTCCCTCAATGGAAATGAACCGCTGAAGGGGCCTATGAAGAGGGAGCTTGGAAGGAGGGTTTATTCCAACATCGCTGATGACTCTTGAGTTTACACTGGTCCTCATCCTCCTCCTCTTCCTCTTCCCCCGCTCCCCCGTCCCTCCTACACCCCTCTCCCCCTCCTCCCCCCTCCTCCTTCCGCGGCCCTCCTCCCTCCTCCCTCCCCTCTTTCTCTCCCCTCCCTTTCTCCCCTCCTTTCTCCCCTCCCTCCACTCCCTCCCCCTTCACCGTCCATCTGTCTCTCCCTCCCTCCCCCCCTCCTCCGCATCCTCCCTTCTCCCCTCCTCCCCCTCCTCGTGTCCTCCCTTCCCTTCCCCTTCCTCCATCACCCCCCTCCACTATCACTCCCCTCTTCTTTCTCCTCGCCCGCCTAGCCGCGCCGCGCGCCCGCCCCCCCCTACCCCCCACCCCTCCGCCAGCTCCGGCGCGGCCGCGGGCCTGCTGGTGCCCTCCCGCCCGGGGGAGGGTCTCGAGAAGGGGGAGGGGGGCAGGGGGGAAGGAGCAGCAGGGAGGAGTGAGGAGTGAGGAGGAGGAGGAGGATGAAGAGGAAAAAAAAAGGAGGAGGAGTGAGAAGGAGGAGTGAGAAGGGAGGAGATGGAGGAGGCGGCGGCGTCGGCGGAACAGCTTGTGGTCTCTGCAGGCTCCTCGAAGCAACGGGCGACCGCTGTGCATACAAGAGCTGCTGTAGCCCTGGCGGTATCAAAAGAGAATCGAGTCCCCCCAGCAGGCTCAGAACCCAGCCATGGGGACTCCACTGGGTATTTACGCGTCGAGATGCCACTACCTTACCATAACCAAAAACGCACAGTGGAATGGTTCCAATAGTCACGGATGACTCAGTGAAAGGGCGGAGGAGGAAGCGGAGCGACATAAGCAGCAGCAGGAGGCAGGGAATGGTTGAGAATGCGTGACACAGGGACTTACACACATCACACGCACACGATGTACATACATATATGTGAGTGAGTGTGTGTAACCTGATGCGTGGCATGGCAAGTGCGTTCTCCGAAGCAGTGGCGGGATCTGTCTCCTCAGCAGTGGCAGAAACGTTTTCCTGAGCACTGGCAGAATCTGCCTGGGTATCATCGGGCGCGCTTCCCCCTTTCCGTGCCGCTGCCTCTACCACGCACGCGCGCGCACTGCTGCTACTCAGAGGGTTGTCGACGCCCATGAGTCGCTCTCCATCGCGCTATGTGATGCTCGTAGTAGGCCTCATATCACCCCCTGGCGGTGCTCGCGGCTACTGCGCATCCTCTGAAGGCAGATCTGCACTTTGCGCCCTTGGGGTGTTCCCTGGGGGGTGTTCCGACTTTCGGCTCGCTGCCCAGTGACATCAGGAGCTTGGTGATGATGAGATTCACGGGCATGCAGAACCCGCCTGCCGTGCAATAGCTGTTCGCGAAGAACTGTGGCGCACCTGCGGAGTCTGACCCTCTTTGTGGTATGTGCTCTCTGCTGTCTAGCAACGGATGCATTCGCTCGCCACCAGCATCGGCTCTCGAGCCACCATCTGGGTGCACGCCTGGAGCAGGGCCAACTCCTCTTTCACGGTCCGATCTTGCTGGAATCGCGGCGCCCCGCACAGGGAAGGGAATCCCACACCGCCATCCCCACCGTGCGGGACGGTGGCCCCATCCCGTGCTCCCCGCCCTGCCCCATCCACCTTTTCCGCAGACGCCTTGGTCGACGCCACGGCTACCGGGGTCAGCGTGCTCTGGGAAGGGGAGAGGAAGAAGTAGGAGGTGGAGGAGGAGGTCGAGGAGGAGGAGGAGGACGAGGAGGAGGAGGAGGAGGAGAAGGAGGAGAAGGAGGAGGAGGAGAAGGAGGAGGAGGACGTAGAGGAGGAGGACGTAGAGGAGGAGGAGACAGGAGTAGGAGGACTAGGAAGAGGAGGAGGAAAAGCAGGAAGAGGAGGAGGAGGAGGAGGAGGAGGAGAAGGAGGAGACAGGAGGAGGAGGAGGAGGAGGAGGAGACAGGAGGAGGAGGAGGCACGGGAAGGAGGAGGCATGAGGAGGAGGAGGGCGATGAGGAGGAGGATGAGGAGGATGTAGGATGATGAAGAGGCAGAAGAAGGAGGAGGAGGAGGAGGAGGAGGAGGCAAAATGAAGAGGGAGGAATGAAAGTGATGAGGGGGAGGCAGGAGGCAGGAGGCGGGAGTGCTGAAGAGAAGGAGGAGGAGGACACAGGAGGCAGGAGAAGGGTCTCCCCAACCACATCAGCCACGAGCACAGAGACGACGACGACGACGACGACGACGACGACGACGACGATCAAACGCGTGCTCTCATGCAAACCGGAGAGACTCCAGGCCGACTTGGCCCCGGGAGGAACACCGGGCCTCGCCCGCTCCTCAGCGGGGCGTTTTTTTCCCCGACCGCCCTGCCACCCCTTCTAGACCTGGGCACCCCTGGCACCCTGGGGGCTCCTGGGGGCCCTGGGCACCCCTCCTCTTGGTCGGGGGCGGCAAAGGAGGGGCTGATGACTACTCCGAGTTTCTTCATAAGCGTCGGGGGGGCGTCACCACCGCCGACAGCCCAATATCGACCCCCGTCGCGGGCAGCCACCATGCGCCGAAGGCGCTCCGACCCCCGTCGCGGCGCGACGACGAGGCGAGGTTTACCCCCGTCGGGGGGATACCCCCCCACGCTTGTTAAGAAACCCAGAGTAGGGGGGGGGGGAGGGGGGATATCCTGGCGGGGGCCACGGTCCCCCCCCAGGTTTCACGGCGCATCTTCTGATCTCACTAGTTATGTCCCCGGCCTCCCCCTGGGCCGCGCACATGCCGCTGGCCATGATGTGCGCCCTCCCCTCTTGAACGCCCCCTACTTGGGCGCGAATCCATGGGCGGGCGACACGTGGGGGGGGGAGGCAGCAAGGGCTGCCGAAAAGGAGCCCTGCAGGGTCCCAGAGAGGGCCTCTTGGGCCCGAGAATGGCATCGTTTTCCCTCACTCATCGCCCCCAATTAATTCGCGCCCGATCCCGCTCCACGTACTGGGCAAGATTAGCCAGCATGGACCCCAAACAGTAGGTCAGCTACTGCACCTCGGGTGCGAGAGGCGTGTAGTGCTGACTGTGCTGTGTAGGCCACGCAGTGCAGTATAGCCACGTAGTGCAATCAGGAGGCGGCCACGGGAGGCGACGTGGCGAAACTTCGCCAGACCCGCCTAGCGCGCAAGGCGGCCAGGAGGCTGCAAGGTGGCAAAACCTCGCCGGACACACCCAGCGCACGAGGAGGCCACGAGGCGGCCACGGGCGGCAATTTGGCGAAACCTCGCAGGACCCGTCCAATCCCTTGAAGACCAGCGAAAGCCCTACGTACAATGACTGCGTGGTGAACTAGAACAAAGGCGCATCCCCCACAAGACGAAGTTTTATGGTGCGCATAATTCGAGACAATTTTCACTCAGGGCCCTTTCTCTCTGTGGCGATGCTCGGAAGGAAAGGGGGGACGGCGAACGAGAAGCGGAAAGTTGGATGAGCAAGGTCAGCGCCGCAGGCCAGTCCGCGGCCAGTTTCCGGTCGTGCTTAGAGGCCACCGACCCTGCCGAGAAGCTCGGTTGTCGGCCTCTTTCACAACGGACGGGAGTGAGCAGCCCGCCGCGCTTGGTCTCTCCTAGTCATGATGTCGCAGCCGCCGCAGCCCAGCGTGCTGCGCGGCCCACGCCGCCCCACGCGGGCCTGCGGGCGTTGCGCCGCGAGTACAAATTGGGCGCACAGGATCAAGTGCGCCTGCGGCAACGGTGTCCCCGCCCGCGTTCGCAAGGCAGCATGGCACAACCAGAAGGTGTGGGACAACAGTGCGCTCGACACGAAGAGCGGCCCTACCCGACAGCAGCTCCCGCCCAAGTTTGACACCGACCTTGGCAAACGCCTTGCTGAGATCGAGGAGCTGTTGCGGGGAGAGAATGACAAAGTTGAGAAGCAGGCGGTTCCGCCCTGGTCCAAGGTTGTCAAGCCTGACCCAGTGGCGGCCGAGCCGAAGCCAGATGGCAAGGAATATGTCAAACATACAAAACGTACTGGTCAGGTGGTGCGCTTCGAGGCCTCAGTCAAATCTCTCCGTGCTGGGGAGCCGGGCGGTGCTCTTCGAAAGTCGCTGCAGTCCAAGATCGACCACCTGCAGTGGCACATCGCAGAGCCACGCAAGACCTGTATAAAACCAACTCGTCTGTCGACCACTTGGCCAGAGACGCTGCTGCAAGAGAGGAGCAGTATCGCGGACAAGAAAGTCACATGTATCGAGGAAAGCAGAGGATGCAGCTTTGCACGAGGAGGTCAAGAAGCATGCCAACACGGTGGGCGGAGGCGATTATGCCCCTACCCCATATTTTGGCAGCTCCTAATGCAGCTGGCTTCCTCAAGCCAGATGAGATCGACGACCCCGAGCTCAGGTGTTCCATCGGCACGGATGCATGGGCCAAACTGCGTGAGCTGCTCTCGTCGAAAGTCCCCGTTCCAGGCGACGCCGACGATCCGATGGATGCTCGCGATGACGAAGGCAATCCTGACAGCAGCAAGTGCGGAATGGATATTTCCAGCGCCGCTGACCAGTACGTCAAGCGCGATTTCGACGACATGGGGCCCATTGGGAAGCAGTCCCGACATTAGTTCGGAAAGACACCCAGTTTCTTTAGTTCGACACAGGCGTTCGCGAGCGCAGGAAAAATCACGATGTGAATGACGGCATCGCACTGCATGGCATCAGGCTACGTGGCGGCGAGGTTCGCGGTCTCACCCCAGCCGCCGCTCAAGGCATGTACACGTTCGCCGCCTTCAACACAAGCGGTGGCAGATCTACGCCGAAGAAAATGACTCGGGGGACCGCAGCCCACATCTTGCTGATCCACGAGGCCGGTCTCATGGGCCAGGGGCCATTGCGCATCGGGGCCGGGCCGCCAAAAGAGCACGAACAGTCCTTGCGAAATCCGCGCGCCCTACGACGGGTTCAGCACCGCCAGGTGGAGTTGCAGTCCTGGCGCGGTCAGGCATGGGACTCCGACGCCCCGCTGGTGGGGGCAAAAGATTTTCGAACGTAGGTTGCAGCGCGTTCTGGTAGGCATGCCAGGATGGCCTAGCCTGTCCGCCCCCAACGCATACCTGAAGGACCCCCATCGGCGCCAGTAGCGAATGCTGATGTACTGGCAGCAGCTGGAAGGACCGCGTCTCGCACCAGGGCCCCGCGCTTCATCGGCGCAACTGGAACATGACAGGTCGCGGCCTCGAGGGGTCCAAGTTTCCCGGGTTTACATCGACAGCGTTGGCGATCTCCGATTATGCCACCTTGTGAGGTGTGGGGGGGTGGTGTGTGTGTGTGTGCGTGTGTGTGTGTGTGTCTGTGTGTCTGTGCGTGTGCGTGTGTGTGTGTGTGCGTGTGTGTGTGTGGTGTGTGTGTGTGTGTGTGTTTGTGTTTGTGTTTGTGTTTGTGTTTGTGTTTGTGTTTGTG